AGAGACATGCCAACATCACAACAGAAGAAATAAAAAAGAGCGCTGAAGACATGAAGAGAGGGAACACACCATGTGAAGACGGAATTGGTATAGACCTTGTAATACATGCAGGAGGAATTGCAACAGTGAAACTAGCCACTCCTTTTAATAAATGCCTTCTTAACGGAAAAACTGGAAAAATGCAACAATTATTTTGATACATTAAAAAGGGGACCTGTGCACCAACACCTCCTGCCCTCCTGGTTCTCTCTCTCGACCTGTGCAACCAACCCTCCTGCCTCCTGGTTCTCCTCTCGACCTGTGCACCAACACCTCAACCCTCCTATCTCTCTCGACCTGTGCACCAACACCTCCTGCCCTCCTGGTTCCCCTCTCGACCTGTGCACCAACACCTCCTGCCCTCCTGGTTCCCCTCTCGACCTGTGCACCAACGCCTCCTGCCCTCCTGGTTCCCCTCTCGACCTGTGCACCAACACCTCCTGCCCTCCTGGTTCCCTCTCGACCTGTGCACCAAACGCCTCTGCCTCCTGGTTCTCCTCTCGACCCGTGCACCAACACCTCCTGCCCTCCTGGTTCTCCTCTCGACCTGTGCACCAACGCCTCCTGCCCTCCTGGTTCCCCTCTCGACCTGTGCACCAACGCCTCCTGCCCTCCTGGTTCTCCTCTCGACCCGTGCACCAACACCTCCTGCCCTCCTGGTTCTCCTCTCGACCTGTGCACCAACACCTCCTTCCCTCCTGGTTCCCCTCTCGACCTGTGCACCAACGCCTCCAACCCTCCTGGTTCTCCTCTCGACCTGTGCACCAACACCTCCTGCCCTCCTGGTTCCCCTCTCGACCTGTGCACCAACACCTCCTGCCCTCCTGGTTCCCCTCTCGACCTGTGCACCAACGCCTCCTGCCCTCCTGGTTCTCCTCTCGACCTGTGCACCAACACCTCCTGCCTCCTGGTTCTCCTCTCGACCTGTGCACCAACGCCTCCTGCCCTCCTGGTTCCCCTCTCGACCTGTGCACCAACACCTCCTGCCCTCCTGGTTTCCCTCTCGACCTGTGCACCAACACCTCCTGCCCTCCTGGTTCTCCCTCTCGACCTGTGCACAACACCCTGCCCTCCTGGTTCTCCTCTCGACCTGTGCACCAACAACCTCCTGCCCTCCTGGTTCTCCTCTCGACCTGTGACCAAACTCCTGCCCTCCTGGTTCTCCTCTCGACCTGTGCAAACCACCTCCTGCCCTCCTGGTTCTGCTCTCGACCTGTGCACCAACACCTCCTGCCCTCCTGGTTCCCTCTCGACCTGTGCACAACAACCTGCCCTCCTGGTTCTCCTCTCGACCTGTGCACCAACCTGCCCTCTGGTTCTCCTCCTGTCTCCTGACTCGACCTGTGCACCAACACCTCCCTCTCCCTCCTGGTTCTCCTCTCGACCTGTGCACCAACTGCCTCCTGCCCTCCTGGTTCCCTCTCGACCTGTGCACCCAACACCTCCTGCCCCTGGTTCCCCCTCGACCTGTGCACCAACACCTCCTGCCCTCCTGGTTCTCCTCTCGACCCGTGCACCAACACCTCCTGCCCTCCTGGTTCTCCTCTCGACCTGTGCACCAACATCCTGCCCTCCTGGTTCTCCTCTCGACCTGTGCACCAACACCTCCTGCAACCTGTGCACCAACCCTCCTGCCCTCCCTGGTTCCTCTCTCTGCACCGACCTCCTGCCCTCTGGTTCTCCCGACCTGTGCACACCTCCTGCCCTCCTGGTTCTCCTCTCGACCTGTGCACCAACACCTCCTGCCCTCCTGGTTCCCCTCTCGACCTGTGCACCAACACCTCCTGCCCTCCTGGTTCCCCTCTCGACCTGTGTGCACCAACACCTCCTCCCTCCTGGTTCTCCTCTCGACCTGTGCACCAACACCTCCTGCCCTCCTGGTTTCTCCTCTCGACCTGTGCACCAACACCTCCTGCCCTCCTGGTTCTCCTCTGACCTGTGCACCAACACCTCCTCCCTCCTGGTTCCCTTCTCGACCTGTGCACCAACGCCTCCTGCCCTCCTGGTTCTCCTCTCGACCTGTGCACCAACACCTCCTGCCTCCTGGTTCCCTTTCGACCTGTGCACCAACACCTGCCCTCCTGGTTCTCCTCTCACCTGTGCACCAACACCTCCTGCCCTCCTGGTTTCTCCTCGACCTGTGCACCAACACCTCCTGCCCTCCTGGTCCCCCTCGACCTGTGCACAACCCTCCTGCCCTCCCTGCTCTCGACCTGTGCACCACACCTCCTGCCCTCCCTGGTTCTCCTCTCGACCTGTGCACCAACGCCTCCTGCCCTCCTGGTTCTCTCTCCTGTGCACGAACCTCCTGCCCTGGTTCTCCTCTTCGACCTGTGCACCAACGCTCCAACCTCTCCTGGTTCTCCTCTCGACCTGTGCACCAACACCTCCTGCCCTCCTGGTTCTGCTCTCGACCTGTGCACCAACCTCCCTGCCCTCCTGGTTCTCCTCTCGACCTGTG